GGATAAGGGAAGAGCATGTTGGATTTTTAAAGGTAGGGAATTCCAGAAAGTAGCAGGATATAAAGATTAGAATGTCGGGATCTCGAGAGTGGACAGGGCAAAGAAATGTGCCTAGGAAATATTGTCTACGGAAGGAAGAGAAGAGCCACCCTGACTCAGCATAGTGGTAGTGGTTACATGGGACATCTTGGGGTCCACCTCACAATTCTGATAAACCTTATATACAGGGTGTCCCATAAGTAGACGGAAATTGTGATAGTAGACTTCAAGAGCTACAAAAAAGTTCATATAACAATTGGCCAATTTTGAGCAGAAAATACAAGTTTTGTATTTTTTTAAGCAAGTCATGCCTTTTTTTGAATAGGGAGCGATAACTAAAGAAATATTTGGTACTAGCTCATATGAGTTCCACATAGATTAATTGTGGTTCACAATCACTTCGGTTACAATTGTTCATAGAGTGGCGAATGGATCCGGGCTTATCCGAATAAGAAAGAAGGTGACCGGTCTTTTGAGTCAGTTACTAATAACTTTTCTACCATTAAAGTACTTTTATACTCTTACCCAAGAAATACATCTCAAAGAAATACAATCTTATGAATTAGAAAAGTAGAAGTTAAGAAAAACTAAAAATAAATTATACCTACTCACAATGCTTTGTTAAAGGTGATGGAAAATCTTTTTCATATTTAAAACAGAAGAATAAAAAAATGTATAAAGAAAATTAAAACCTTGTTACATAATAAATACTTCGCCAGAGTCTAATTGAATTATGAAGAGGAATTCGAATAAGAGAGTTTTAAATGGATAAGGATGGTGCATAGCAGATTTTAAGCAGTATGGAATTCACCGTACACCACGCAGCGTAATCAAGGTGAGGGAGAATACTAGGAGTCTACATGTTGGCATGGGTAGGAGATGGCAGAAACATTGGAATAGTTTCAATGTACTAATTAACCTTAGGGAGAAAATGCCTAGCTTTTTTACTGAGTAGCTGATGGATGGTCATTTAGGTACAGGTTAGGAATATTGGTATTGGATCTGGAAAGGGATTTGGAACCAATGACAATGGCTTGAGTTTTGGCAGCATTTAATCTTAATCTATTTAAGTTTGCCCAGGCACTGATCTGATTTAAGTCTTCTTGAATTTTGGCAAATGCATCATGCAACTCTGAGAAGAAAAGGAAATGTAAATTTGAGAATCATCAGCATAGAGGTGATGGAAAGAGTTGAAAGAGTGATTTACAAAGGTCGTTAATCCAGGAACTAAAAAGAAGCTAGAGCCCTGGACCACTCCTGAGATCAGAGTAAGATAGAAAGACAAAGATTGATTAGGAATAGCGACTGCTTGGGTACATCGAGAAAGCAAAGATTGAAACCTAAGGATAATGATTTTAATTTGGAAAAGAGTATGGAATGGTTAATGGTATCAAAGGCTTTGGAAAAGTCTAGGAGTACAAGAACAGTTAGTTTTTGGTCATTTTTAGTGGATTGAAAATAACTAATGAATTTGATTAGGGTGGGTTGTGTGGAGTAACCTGGTCAAAAACCAGATTGGAAAAGGTCAAGTTGATTGGACTAATCGAGGAAATTGGAATGCATATCTCCTTTTCTTTTTAGTTCCTGTATTAACGACCTTCATAAATCAATCTTTCAATTCTTTCCATCACCTCTATGCCGATGATTCCCAAATTTACCTTTCCTTCTCTCCCTCAGAGTTGCATGATGCATTTGCCAAAATTCAAGAAGACTTATTTTTTTTTCTTCTGTTCTTCCCTACCTCGCCTTTTAGGCTATACAGGGTTTTCCCGAGCCGGAGGGCGAGGGTGGGGAATTTAAACTACCAATCCCATCACCTTCAGCTCCTCACTAAAAAAGCTAGGCATTTTCATAAACCAAATTCATTCCTGGAATCACCATATTGCTCACATCCTCCTAAGGTAAATCTATGAGACAAATTCAACATTTTACGTAATGGATACAACCTGGAAATAATAAATATAATTCCAGATGTCGAAAATATAATTAAAACAATTAACACACCAGATAATCATAAAAACATAATAAGAAATAGAGTAAATAACTACATAAATGATTTTATTGACAAAAATAATAGTATCTCAAATCAACCCGTACACATAATAATAATTTTTTTTTCGGTTGGCGCTACAGACCTTGTAGATCTTTGACCGCGAGATGTGGTCTTCTAGACCACATCCCGATTCCTGATTTAAGTGCACGGGGGTAGGGTAATCAGTCCTACGTCCAGTCTGTGTGAGTTGCCTCCAGTGGCTGCCGGGCTCACAAACCATGGAGGGGAGGGTCTCAGGCCGCGTGGCTTTCCCTGGTGGACGGTCACCCAAATCGGGCAGTCACCCATCCAAGTGCTAAACACACTTGGCATTGTTTAACTTGGTTACCTATTGAAAGCGCCTTAGCCCCCAAAGCTACCCCAGCCCCAATAAAAATAATAATATTAGATACGAAAAATGCAATTCAAGTGAAAGAGAAAATTATCAGTTTAAATAAGGTAGACGAAAATGAATATTTAGTAAGCTATGACGCTGAATCTTTATTTACTAACATTCCACTGAATGAAATATAATAATAATAAAAGGCTTAGCGAACCCGAAGGTTCGATGCCGACACCACTAATCGCTTATTACACACCTCCCTCCACCGTTCGCCGTCCATACCCAGTCCCTTCAGATCGGCTTTAATGCAATCTTCCCACCTTTGCTTCGGTCTACCCCTCGGACGCTCACCATTCGGCACAGCAAATATTAACCTTTTAGGAATTCTCTCATTACTAAGCCCAACAACTTTACAAGCCCATTTGATTCGTCGCGATGAAATTACCTCAATTATATTACCCGGATACAGTTCACGCAATTCGGCGTTGTGTAACCGTCTGAACTCTCCGGTTAACTCATCCTTCTTTGGTCCGAATATTCTACGCAATACTTTATTTTCAAAAACCTTAAGACGCTGCTCATCCCTTAATGTAAGCGGCCAAGGAATGAAATATATAAAATTCTTGAAAAAAAATGGGATGAAATAGAACCTTACACAGGTATAAAAGATAAAAAGTTTATAGGGAAGGAATTAAATTAATTTGCGATAATGGCTATTTCTCCTATAACAATAATTATTACAAAAAGAAAAATGGTCTACCATGAAAAAAACAATAACTAGTAATAGAATCCTGTGGCTCAGTAACCACAAAAAACATCAAATAATTAATACAGTTAAAGATTTAATATACAAGGCAAAATTAATAATTGATAATAATCATATCAGAAATTAAATCACAAATATATGAAATTATATTTGAAAACTGGTGCCCCATTAGATTAATAAATAAATTGTGGTATAAAAATAAAACATTAGTTAAAAGTAGCAATAGTAACAAACAGATAAATGATATTAGTGTTAATAAGAGTGAGAAAGTAAACCAAAATAATAAATTTAATAAAGAACCGAATTTAATAACAAATTATTTTGAAATTGGAAATGCTATAAAACAGAAAACATCCATGAATGATATACATGACATTAAGACGCAAAATGAAAAATATAATGAAAACAAAGAACAACCTTCTAAAAAATATTGTAACGTCATATATTAGAAATTTAACTGATAAAATAGAAAGAACAATTAAACAATATGATGTAACTGAATTAAATTTACAAGCAAACCAATTAATAAAATAGATACAATTTATTCCAAAACTAAAGATAAAGTACTTACCGTGTAACCAAGATTAAGATAGCACTGGAAACAAAACAAATTCTAGTCTCTTTTGTTTCCTGGGAGATGACTGATTGATATTTTTAGCATGTACATGTACTCTTACATATTATTGTATCTTGACTATCTTTGGATGTGGCATGCCATAATATTGTATATAAAATAAGTATCTTTTTTTGTTATTTGTATTATCTTTATTATCTTAAATATCTTTCTTTTTTTAACTTTAATTGTATATAGTAATTATGTTTGAGTTCCCTCTTTTTCCTTGTATTTTATTTCTTTTTATTGTACATAGTATTAATCCTGTAAATATTTCTTTCTGTAAATAGATCTGTTAACCTTTTTGCTGCTTTATAAAAATTATCCAACCTAACCCCTTCTCACCTGAGCTAGCATGGTAGAGTAAATATGTAATGATGGCCATTAAAGTACTTTCTGTTTTCTAATTTATCTCTTTAGAGATGAAAGGCTAGTAAAGCCAGGCGCCCAACAAATAAAAATTCCTATGGAAAATTATAATTATTAAAAATTATTTTATTATATCTTTTATTTTATCCTTTTTTTGGTCATATAAATAGTGGCGGCTGAAACGTGGGGCCTAGATGTATATAAAGCAGTAAATAAATGTGAATAATTAACTATAAGATAAATGAGAATGAGGTTAAGTGTAATTCAAGTTGATAAAAATTGCTTGAAGACACCAAATATCTAATTTATCTATTATAAAAAGGTATTAACTTGCATTAATTATTAAGATTAAAGTGAGTATCATTACCTACTGTACAAAATTTATGTTTTATCTATATTTTATCTTAAATAAATTTTGATGTACCTTCATAAGTATAACTTAATTTTATGTACACGTTATTGTTGTATTCAAGCAAATATTTATATATTAGAGATATAAAATATAAGAATGAATAAGACAATGATGAAAACATATATTTATTTATAAAAATATATATGTACTTGTATAATGTCAATAATTAACTATTGTCACTAATAGCAACGCATGAACAAACAAACTGGTTAGCAACGCATAACCAAACAAGCTGGTTAGCAACCAGGTAGATGATAAACTAAACCCTGGGCCCACACTACAGGCAAATCGAGGCAAATTCCCGCATTTTGCCTCAGTTTTATGGCAGTTTGCCCGAGTTTGCTAGCGCCACTGTAGTAGAGAACAAAGGAAAGTGCGAGAGTGGGAGGAGGTGGTGGGGATATTTTGACCTGCTGGTGGAAGGTAATGGGCTGTTTACCCCGGTTTGTTGCATATCCATCCGAAATGGAAAACTTAGGCAAAATCCAAGCAAGTTTTGCATTATGGCCGTTACGCTGCGCTAGTGATGCATTGAATAGCCACTGTGATTGGCTGAGACAGAAACTTCCGTTTCCCGCTTTTTTTTTTGCAATATCCGAAATAAAAAAAAATGAGTGCGCACAACACACAACTTTCACTTACCTTCTACTTTGAATAGAAATTACTTTCTGGAAATGTTGAGCAATTATAAAATTTTTGAAGTGCACTTTTAACGGGTCTATAGCTTAAAGTTTACTGCTAACAAATCATTAACATCACTAAAATAACAGAAACCCTATTAATTATATCAACGGTAGATAATAAAAACCTCCCTACCCCATATTTTTTCGTAAACCACATAACTCCGGTCTCTGAGCAATATACATATGTCTAGAGAGATTTTAAAGTATATCTCTATATTCAACCTATAAATGATTATGGATTCTACGCCTATTAGTTATTAAACTGTTATTTTCCATTGTAAAATTTACTACAAAGAGATTACGAGATTTTCATCGCCTGTCATAGATAGCTCAAAAGTTTTTACACTAATTTAACAAAGGGAAAATTCATCAAATTACTCACTAATTTAATTTTTTTTAAATGTTATACGACGACCAACGGACGTTGATACCTAATTATTTAAATATAATATCAGATTTAGAATTATTAAAACTATAGTAAATGTATTTAAGGTTATAAACATAGGCTTTATACATCCATGAAATATTTTTATATTTCACTTCTTTCACATTAGTACTATGAAATAGCTTTTTTAACAATAACATTGCGTTGATTAGGTGAATTTTAAATATTTTTTTCAAACTTAAAAACAGTTTAAATTTAGTTAGTAAATTTCATTTATTTAATTTCCTTGAAAAAATGTGATTTCCGTTAAATAATATTAGTTTACACAAATTATTATTTATAATAATCTCTCTCCATTACTTTCTATATTTCATATTGTTTTTTTCTAAAATTATCCGCTTTCCAATGATATAACTTCTGACAAGTATTGCCGGTAATTCATTTTCATCCTCAATACACATTTTCCCTTTTTTCTCCATTTTTCAATTATCAAATTCTTTCAAAAGTTATATTTAGCATTTTTTCGTAATTCTTAATAATGAGAGATGGTTAATTATTAAAAATTAATCAAATTAAAGGTACTTTAGAGGATGAAATGTTGAACATTTAGGCATTTAAGCTATGTAAAGTGACATTAATGGGGATAAGACCTCAATGATATTAAAGACCACTTAATTATACAATAATACACGAGTTTAATCAAAATTTTCTGTGCAACCAGCTTTCTGTCTTTCAGTAATAACAAACAAATCATTATAAACTACAAAAATTAAATGAAGATATTATTTGCCATTAAATGAATTATGGAAGTTTGTTAGCGGAAGGGTTCATATAAATAAAATTAAATAAGATATAATGAAATATAACATATATTTTTGAACATTTTTACATAATATATTTTAAATAACAAAACTTTTAATCCATTACTTGTTTTTCCCATTTTTCATTACTTATATATATTTATTTGATTTATTATATTTCCATATATTTGCTATTTGTACTTATCATCTTTTTGAGTGTCAGGTATATATATCATAACCTTTCGTACTTATTCATTACCTTTTATTATCATAAACTAAGTTTTTGTTAATTCATCTAATTACATTTTATTATTCATATCTAATTATTCCATTTTATGTTTCTTCTTCATTTAATACTACTCTTCATTGTTTATTTCCATTTTATAGTTGAATTGAAATACTTTATAAAACCAATTATGTCAAGTTCCACTTTTGGTAATATTATTTCAGCCAACAATTTGCCCTAACATCGCTGCCATACTCCTATCTACCTTAATAAATAAGTATAATCACTGAACTTTTCATTTTTAGCTAGATTCTGCATTTACACAAAAAAACTATTAAGCAAAAAGTTTTTTTATGTTTTTGAAAACTCAGAGTTGAAATTTTTAATGATCCCAATACTTCGCATTACATTAAAATAAAATAATATCCATTTTCACATATTATTTAGTCAATATAAAAAAAAAAGTTCAAAATTTATTTATTTTTTAACCTATGCTTATTCTACTTTAGAGAGTTGAAAACAAGTATTCATTATTTTTTTAAAATGATCAGTTTATCAGTTTCTTTTTTAGTGCCCATATTTGTATCGGTCTGTCAACTAATTTTACATTTCACAGACATTAGTGTTAATCTACATCTGTTTTTTTTTTCTTTCTATATCTTCAGTTCAAATAAAACCGAACAACTCACAAAATTACTAACCTAGACTCTAATAAAGTTGCATTAATAACATTTTAAGCACATATTGAAACACCATAATACAATACTATATTTGTAATTAAATGACTGTATCATGGTTAGAGACTAACATCATACAGTGCCAATTTTGATGCCTACTTCAATAAATAATCAACCATCCTAAGCCTAAAAAAGTTATATTTGTATAAAACATTGTCTGATTAAAATAACAATTAAGTCTAAGTGTGGAAATTTTAACCACATAGTGAGACTGCCTTTGTTTTGTTATTCGCATTTTTAATTTTAGAAATTTGACATATACCTATCATTTATTGGTTATTTATACACAAGTTGTAATATATATGTTTGAAGGGAAATGATGGAAGATGTTATTTATAATACATACAACCCATATATTTGCAAAATATAATAAATCATATACATAAACTAAATTTAATAATTATAATGTTGCTAGAAAATTAATCTTTATATCTTAACTTTGTTATTATTATACAAAATAGAAATTCTATTAATGAACAAATAAATATTTTTAGGTTCAAATATACAATACAAAATATAAATGAATTAATACAACATACAAATTAATGAATACAAGATATGTTTTTGTTTATACAACATCATGAATAAAGGAATTTAACATTACAAATAAAGCATTTTTAAATGCATCAGAAAAAGCTGAATAATAACTAATGAGTATTCTAATAATTTACTGGATTATTCTCCATCTTCTTAAAACACCTTTAAAAAGGCTTTATTAATAATATGTCTTTTTGGAGGTACAACCTTACTAGTATTTACAGAAAAAGTGTCTGTTTTATATTTTTTAAATGGCCCAGCATGTTGCTGGAAAATCACTCTTTATGGTGCATTCGCAATACCACGGGCACAGGCTGCCATTTTGTTTAAACTAGTGCTGGTTTCAATATTACAAATATTTTTATTCCACAAAGTCCGCACACATCTTCCCCAAGCCTCGTTCCATTTCACATATGCACAAACTTTGTTCTGGTTGAGGTAATTGGTCCAACCCTTCTCCTAACATGGACCCATAATTCTGTGCAATTGTTTTGGGTTTATTTGTATTTCCGCACTGTTTTTCTATTATTTGGACGAGTTTATTGAACGGGGCCATAATTTCCTCTTCGCCTTTGTTTGATTTTTTTTTTTTTGTCTTAGGCTGCAATACATACCGTTGTTCAATAAAGATGAATCATCGAGTACTTCAGCCTGTCCTTCATGTTCACACTCAACAGTAGGGGAACGCTGAAAAAAAAAAAAAATTACCAATCTTAGGCCTGGTATCATCCAACTAAAAAATCAGATTTTTTAATTTCGTTATAATTTTTTCCCTTCTATTTTTTGCGATGCTTATAACACATTTAGTTGAGATTTTCATTTTTAGAGGAGGGTCTATGTCTGGCACACTTTAAGACTCAATTTTACAGAGAACAAATAAAAGCTATGTAACATTTACATTAATAATGAAAGTCGAGGAAAAAACAAAACTAATCCTTAATTGAAATAGGAAACAATGGAATCAAATTCATAACAGAAGAAAATAAATAATTTGTTACGGGTAAACAGATAATGTGGAGGGTTAAGGAAACAAGACAGAATGGCTAAGGCATCATAGGGCATTTTCTCTTTATAGTCATTACCCTATGTACATTGTTTTGCTATATGAAAAAGTATAAAAAAAAATAACTTAATCATAGACTAGGAGGGATATCGAAAACTAACAATGAACTTCCAATTAACTAAATATAAATAACCAGTTAAATGCTAAATAATTAACACCCCTTGTCCATTGTTTCCTTTGCGATGATGTACTTAAGTTGGACGTTAGAAAAGAAAATAGAACTAAATTAACTTACTACAGACTTAATTGATTGTTTGAATTGAAAAATAATAAAGTAACACTTGCAAATTTAGTAAAAGAGGAATTAACCATTCACTAAATTGTAAAAAATGTCTATACAGTAAATCAAAGAACCTCATAAATAAATGGAGAAAAAAAATTTTAAATGCATTCCTTGAATCAAACAATTGAAAAAATATTGGCAGCTCATTGCAAAGTAATTAAGTGAAAATACATTATTTCTTAAGTAATCAAGAACTTTGAATATCTTTTTCTTTATAAAATCAGAAAATTGTGTGCTTCTTGTAAGTATAATTGATGTATAAAAGGGTTTGTTTCATTTCCATGCCCATACAGTGTTTTTGTATAGGTAAATAAAGTCAAAATTAAAAAAAAAAAATCTTGAAAGTTAACCTATATCAAATATGCACATAGTGCATGAATTGAATGCAGTAAACGGAGGATATATCAAGAATTTTCACTGGTTAGAGAATTAATAATTGACTATGTTTAACGGAAGGAAATTGACAATCCTAGCAATTGTGTGTGAAAAATTACATAAAATCGCGTTAATTAGCTTTACAGAAATATATTTTGAAAAACAAGGTAAAATGTATTTATAGAGAAATGTCATAGCAAAGAAATAAACAACTGATATTAATAAGGAAAACTAAGATCAATTTTATGCTTACCTTGTATGATTCTCATGAATTTTCGACATCTGTCATCTTCTTTGTTTTCTCCACTTATTTTCTTCTACTTGCTTTTTTTTTATAGAAGACATAACCAAAAGTAGCAGTCAACCCCACGGCAATTCTAGAAGGTCCATGTTGTTTGCTTGGACTGACTCCGTCCTACTGAGCACATTTTCCATGGTTAACGAGCTTCGATTAGTTCCTTATTTTGTCGCAAGTTTGCCAGAAATTTTGCCAAACCGAGTTTGCCTGTAGTGTGGGCCCACCTTTATTGAATTAATTTTAGTGATTTAAAAATAGTTATTTTGTCACTTTGAGTTGCCTTTAGCCTCATGAATTATTTTTAAATCTCTAATTTATTTGTTTAAGAGTACGCTATTTTTTTGTGTTGTTTTTCTGCATGTTTATTAATTTAAGTTATTAATTTTACTTTTTACAATTATTTCATGTATCATCTCAGGTTAGTGACACTGAACTAAATTGTAGTGAAATTTCCCTAATGTAAATACCAAACACAATTATCTTTTGTCTCGCCATATGTAATTATCTGCCCAGTTCCATTACTATTTTCATTCTTTATATTTTCGATGATAGTTAATGGTTAAGGAACCACGCGTAAGTTGGCTCTATCATTTAAAAAAGGGATGAATTATTAGATTAAAGAAAATCTGGTAATTTAAAACAGCGGGTAGTAAGATTAAAGATTTCTTTTTGAGTAATCCTTGGTTGTGGTCAGTATCTTCGACGTCCTCAGAGAATACGGAGAAAAATATGACAAACGAGGAGGAGCTGGAATCAAATCAACAAGAGTCTAAACCGCCAACCGCTATGTTTAATTATATTTTCCCCCCGGCTTATTCGTTACAATTTTTCGCTTCCTTAAAGTTCAATAATAATTCAAATCTCTCTGCCGACGATTTCCTTCAAAGAGTAAATGAAAAGCGTTGGATTATAAAATACCCGATGCTGAGTTACTTAGCTATTTACCTGAATTATTCCAAGGGACACCCCTCAATTGGTGCCGTTTAGAATTAGACAATTGGGAAAAATGGGAGGACTTTGAAAAAGCCTTCCGTGCCTCATTCTTCCCTCTTGATTATCAGGAAAAGCTGAAAAAGGAAATTGATAGAAGAACGCAGGGCGATCAAGAAAAAATTATGGACTACGTCATCAACATTAGGACCTTATTCAAAAAATTGAATCGGCAGAAACCCGAAGACGAACAAATTTCGAAAATTTACGAAAATCTTTTGCCCCGATACCAATTATACATTAGGAGATCTGAAGCGACATCCTTAGTTAAATTGGTCGAATTGGGGCAAGAATTGGAGAAGATCGAAGACAGAGCCAGAGCAGACTTTTCGTGCACCTCCAACTAAAGATATTAGCTTTGTCCCTGAAACTGCCTATGAACCTCCTCAAGCACATAGCATACAATTTCAGAAGAGTAGCAAGATAGCCACTGTGGAGAATACAGCCAAGAAAATCAATAAAGGCGATAAAAAAGTAGCTTCCCCTGAACATGTTCAAAGGAAACCAGAACCCTTATCATCCACCATCGTAAATCAGAACCAGTTGGAGTTAGCAACAGTACAATACCTTTGTTGGAACTGCCTTAAAACGGGACACCGTTATCCAGAGTGTTCCAAGCCTAAAACAACCGTCTTCTGTTATAGTTGCAGCACTTGTGGTATCACCAAGAAAGATTGCCCAAACTGTAAGATGGAACGGAGAACGGGTCAGTATAAGGAGGTCGCTGCTGACCCTGTTTCCTCGACTAGAGACCTCAAATCTCGTGAGCTCAACAACCTTTCTACCTTATCTTTAGCTGAAGACAGGTTATACATTACACTAAGTGTAGGTAAGATCAATCTTCCAGCGCTTATTGACACAGGAGCCAATCATTCGTATATCAGTTCCTTAGGACTCTCATCTTTACACCAAGAACACATCACGCTGACATCTGTTACCTCTTATCTTGTCGCGGTGGCTAACGGAGCGCGTGAGACGGTTAACGAAGCTGTTGCCTTCTTAGCCAGCGTAAACGGCCGTCAGGTTCAAATATCTTTTTATGTCCTTCCCAACCTAACAGTTCCTTGTCTTTTGGGAATGGACGTCATGAGAGCACTAGGGATAGTAATTGATGCTACTGAAGGGTCCTGGTGGTTTAAAGATATGCCTTCTTGTCGAGCTAAGTTTTCTAAGGAATCTTTGATTGGTCATAACATCGATGTCGGAAAGAGCCAACCAATCATAAAGAGCATGATCACCTCATATGTTTTTGATCAACACAAGAAATGGGACAATTATCTACCTGAGCTGATGTTCTCCCTCAACAGTTCTCTTCATAGCTCGACGGGATATACACCAGCCTACTTAAACTTTGGGCGCGAACTTTTACCTCCTAATTCATATTTTGGTAAAGCTAGTAGTGACCAAGTATTGAAATCCCTTGATAATTGTGTTTGGTCTGATCATTTAAATAGGTTGAAGGAATTTCGGAAGACAGCGGAAGCAAGTCTCAGCAGAGCTTCAGCGCGGCAAAGTAACTACTACAACCGTCAACGGAAGGAAGCGACGTTCAGTCAAGGAGATCTAGTACTGCGACGGGCTCATCCTCTCTCATCTGCTGAACGAGGATTCGCTAGCAAACTAGCTCCGAAATTTGAACGACCATTTCGTATTTCACACAAAAGGTCAACTAACGTGAAACCCGAAGGCACACCAGCTGGACTTGGACATGCAGCTCAACTAAAAGTCTATCACCCTGAATTGCAGCGTGAGGGGTCTCACGCTCCCGAAGAAGGGGAGGTGTAACCAAGATTAAGATAGCACTGGAAACAAAACAAATTCTAGTCTCTTTTGTTTCCTGGTAGATGAATAATTGATATTTTAGCATGTGCATGCACTCTTACATCTTATTGTATCTTGACTATCTTTGGATGTGGCATGCCATAATATTGTATATAAAATAAGTATCTTTTTTTGTTATTTGTATTATCTTTATTATCTTAAATATCTTTCTTTTTTTAACTTTAATTGTATATTATTAACTTTATTTGTACTGTAATTATGTTTGAGTTCCCTCTTTTTCCTTGTATTTTATTTCTTTTTATTGTACATAGTATTAATCCTGTAAATATTTCTTTCTGTAAATAGATCTGTTAACCTTTTTGCTGCTTTATAAAAAAAATATCCAACCTAACCCTTCTCACCTGAGCTAGCATGGTAGAGTAAATATGTAATGATGGCCATTAAAGGGTAAGTACTTTCTGTTTTCTAATTTATCTCTTTAGAGATGAAAGGCTAGTAAAGCCAGGCGCCCAACAAATAAAAATTCCTATGAAAATTATAATTATTAAAAATTATTTTATTATATCTTTTATTTTATCCTTTTTTTGGTCATAACCGATAAATTAACAAATATTATTTATAAAATTAACTGCAAAAATAAATCATATTTTGGACAGACATCACAATGGTTTGAAAAAAGACGTAAACAATATAAATTTAACTGAAATTCAAAAATCACAAAAACTAAATTAGCTACTGGATTTTCCCAGCATACTATGGAAGCTAAACACAAATTTGATTTCAAGAACGCTAAAATCTTTCTTAATGAATGTAATACTAATAAATGTATAATAAAGGAAGCAATATATATTACTAAAAACATGAAAAATTCTGTAAATATTCATACGGACATAGATAATTTAGATACTTTTTATATGAGTTCAATTGAAAAAATAAACATTTAAAATGAATAGTGTTACTTTCCAATTTATTTATTTTAAGCTAATTTTTAATTTGGTCAACTTAATGACTAAAACATCTTAATTATGATGTTTAGGCTCGTCGAGCCATTTTCAAGTCCATCATGTACCTGTCCATTTCACTTATGCGAATTATATGGGTCTACTATATAATAAAATGTTTTACAATTGTCATGTCCACCTTTAACTTATCATGTGTCACCCACATGTGGTCGGTATCATTTCTATTCAGTCACTGAATATTAGATACGATTGTAAATTGAAAAATTGTTTTTAGACTTGAAAATGGCTCGAAAAGTCTAAACATCGTAGTAGGAGTTTGAAGTGAAAACATCGGTGTAATGTTGGCTTAAATAAAAAAATTAGAAAGTTTAATATAAATTGTTATCACGTTTCATTCAAATTTTCTCTCCCAATAACACCAACTTTGGAATTAAATTTTATCATTAAAAACATTTTAAAAAAATCATTCCTTGTACATTTGATGTCGCCAGCTATCTGGCTTCAAGAAGATATAAAACTTTTTGAGAAAATAAAACACTTGAAAATTGGTATTTTGTTTCTCCCAATATTGGCGTTTCGGTCCACTAGACGTTTGCCAGGATGAATGCAAAGTCGTCTGTCATTTCCGGAGAGCTCCCAAGCTAACACGTCTCTACAGTTATTAAAAAAGTATAGACCGGATGAAGACCACCTTCAGTTGATAGAGCAGCTTATGTTTGGAGTTACAAAGACAGTCCCATCAAACAGTATCTTATACATTCTTTTATAATAATAAGATTATATTTATTTGAATTTTATTTTATTATGCTCATAAATCTTATATTTATTAAATAGAATATTAAATGTATCGATGTAGTTTATTTGATCCTTAGCATTCACAGTACATGAACTAATTAAGTCTTCAGCCTCCAGTAAATTTACAATAATAAATAAAAAACATTAATTGTAATTCAATTTACATTTTTATAAAAATCAGAACATTTTTTTTTTTTTATTTAACGCCTCTGCCGTTGGCTATTAGGCCATTTGGCTCCTGGCAGCCCAATACAATTCCGCCATGATTCCTTTGCTTGAATTTGTACCGATCCCCTCAGAATTACTGCGGACATCTGACAAAGCGGGGCAAACTGAGAGCTCTAGGTCGTACATCCCATCCTGTTGTCAAAGAGGTCACACAGGGCTTTCCATCACTCCAATCCTATGTAATTGCCTTTGCAGGTAATCGTATCCTGTCGTCATGCAGAAATTCGCCACCGATTCTTTCCTATTTTTTGTTTGTTTCATCGGCTCCTCTGTTAAAGATTCCCATTTTTTACCCACTGCCTGTCGCTTTTGCCAATCCTCGTTCTCTTGTAAAAGGATTTTAAAATCTTTTTAACAGATTTGTAGGGCAGCGGAGGATTAGTTTGTGGAATTTCCAAGGCGATCCATGAGAGCTCATCAGCTTTTTTCGTTTCCTGGTAGACTGGCTTGGAACTCATTGGAAAGTCACTCAAATTCCTTTTTTAATTAAATTACTAATTCGATTTCTGGTACTTGTGACATCAGGATGGTCCAGGCCATTGCAGATCGACAATATGGCTGCTTGTTAATCGACAAAGATCACAACTTGGGGATGAGTTCTTTCTCTATTGCAGCCAATGCTGCGGAAATGGCTTTCACTTCTCCATCGAAATTTGTCCCCCGGCTACCAGTAGAGATGGATAACATAAAATCTTGGCAGTATACTCCTGCGCCTGCATTCCGCGTAGCTGTTTGAGCGGAGCCGTCAGTGTATACGTGGACCCAATTCTGCTCGGAATAGAGGTTATTTATTGTTTCCATAGCAAGAGTTTTCAATTCCCATTCAGGTGTTTGGGGTTTACTTACAGGTTGTGTTAGATCTAGCCGTCCCTCTGCAATAAATTTTTGCTGGTCATTACATTTAAAAATCAGAACAATATATATATATTGTAACATTCCTCTTTGTCAACATAATCAAATGAGTTTCCTTTTTCAATATACTATTTATTTTGACATATAATATAAATCTCAGGTTGGGTTCTGACAACTGAACACTCATTCAACATTAAATAACTATAATTTACTAATTACTAAATACATATAAAGAAACTAGATACATACATTAAGAAATTATACATATAAAATTTAATATTGTTTTCAAAAACCTTGATTGTCCCAGTCTAAACTTTGTGGCTCTTTTTTCACCTTCTCTCTTGACAGCTTGTCACATTTTCTCTTGGCAGCTCATAACCTTCTCTCTTGGCCGCTATCACCTTCCCTCTTGGCGGCCCGTCACATTCTGAGTTACATGAGGCTTGCTTCCCCCACCATCCGCACCGTAGTTCGTGCCATTACCACCCTCGCGCCACTATTTAAATGCCATGTAATGTTGACATTACAATATATATATATATATATATATATATATATATATATATATATATATATATATATATATATATATATATATGTGTGTGTGTTCTTCCACCCATCTGATATACTTGAAACAGCATGTTAATCATGTTAGATTCGGGATGAATATGGTTCACGCATATGTAGTGAAAATGTGGTTCACATTAGTTTAATTAATCAATATTTTTTCAACAGGTTCTCGTAGGCACTTTATCTCATCTTATGCCTGTTGGTGATAGTGACAAAAGACTGTTAACGTCTTTATTGTTCTGCCTTGGTGAATGGACGATGACTCTACCTATACAACGTTTGGTTTTAAATCATAATGGAACATCTTTATTATGCAATGTATTTAAGGTAAGTTACAATTATGTTAATGTATTCTTTGCTATAAATTAAGAAGAAGAAAGTAAATTTTACTCCGGGACTTTTGAATCCCCTAACAATAACAAACATGTACAATGATAATTACATTATGATATAGATTTGTCTGGCACATAATGGCTGACAAATAATAATTAGGTTACAGAATTGTGTAACATTAAAATAAAAATAATGAGCTTTCTAAATTATCATATAATACGATGACCTTACAGGTGAATTGATATTGTTTGTTTACATATTTTCACTGCAAGCAATATAAATAATGTTTTTTAATTAACATTAGAATCATATTGGTAACATATTTAATTCTTATAAATATTCGGAAGACTGATGGCTGAGGAGATGGAGAAACAGTTGTTTTTTAAATGAAGGTGATAATGAAGTTTTACGTATAGTGGTGAGTAAGGAATCCCAAAACAAGGTAGCACACACTATAAAGTTTTTTTCAAAATAAACTGTCTTATGAGAAGGAATATACAGGTTTGTGGGCTGGGATCTCGTGTTGAAAGAATGGACAGAGGAACAAGGAGTTAACAAGTCTAGAAGGTATGAAGTCTTTCTGGTTGTAAAGATTTGGAAAAGGAATACACCTAGGAAATATTGCCGTCGAGAAACTGGATATAGCCAATTCAACTTGGAATACTGACTGGGGACATGGGAGCTCTTAGGGACACCGCAGATGAATTTAATGAAACAATTGATTAGTCTTTTCAATATAACCTCAAGTCCACTAGACAGTTCACTGTATACAAGGCAGCCATAATTGAAGTTGGAAAAATAAGAGAAGAAACTAGAAGCTGGCAGGTTTTAAAAGGGATAGAATCACAGGATCTTAGAAACTGTTTAATAGTAGCTTTTCTGATTATTTGGGAAACATGGTGATTCTAGGACAAGTGTTGATCAAATGTTACCTCCAGGTTTCTGTCGGAAGTGTGGAAGCGAATAGGTTGGCCATTAAGATAGAAAAGGGGATAATAGGAAAGGGAATTAAGAAGATGCTTAGACCCAATGATGATTGCTTTGTTCTTCTCAATGTTCAGCCTCAGATCATTGTTAGCTACCCATATCTTGATATTGTCTATATCCTCTTGAAATCTTCGGATCGCCTCAAGCATCTCTGAAGAATGAAAGGATTGGTAGATCTGGAGGTTGTCAGTATATATAGGTGATATTGTGAGTGATGGATGGAATCAGGGAGTTCGTTGATGTAAATGGAGAAAAGGGTTGGTGAAAGGGAAGATCCCTGAGGAACATCATGAGTTAATAAGACGGATGAGGAATTAAATTTGAAATTTAAGACAAAATTAATACTTAAATAAGATCATAATAATGTAGAGATGGTTGACCGTTGATATAATATGAGAAGGAGTTGATCGGGGGGTGCGGTCAAATTAATACTAAATTAAATAAGTATAATTATTTAATTTTTGCCAACGTTTCGACTCCTTTGTAGGTCTTCATCAGGGCTACAAAAGATACAAAACATGGTGAAAATAAATGAATATAAGTAGATATAAAATAAGAATAAGTTGTCTGATACAGAACTAAAATATGATATCAGAGATATAGTGGGTGACAAAGTAGTTAAAATATCTAGTATTATATTTATAAGATAAAAAAAAAAAAAAAAAAAATGGAAAATAAGTATGAATAAAAACAGAAAATAAAGGAGAATATAGCATGTAAGTTAATGTAACTTCAAAGTTACTCCTGTGGTAAGCAATAAGGTTGTTGGATAATTATTTTGAATTTGAATTCACCAGAGTATAAAGTGGCTTCTTTGGAAAAATAAATTAATACATACTCTGTTTTAATATGCTGCATCACAATAAAAAATAAATTGGAATACTACTACAAATTGACATAAATACAGTGATGGAAAAAAGTATTTGCACAACACGTTTTTATGAATAAAGTCGTTCGAGGAAACAAATAACTTCGCTTTCCTTTGCAAAAATGAAAAGTAAATTTATTAAAAACTGAAAAAACCTTTTTACAAATAAATAAAAACACTTCATAATCAAACAAAATAATTAAAACAATAAAAGTGCTTGGAAAAAAGTATTTGCACACTTCAACATTTACAAGTTTATTTTAAATTGTAATAGTTTTAATATTTTTTAAATAGGCCATTTGCATCAATAATTGCTTGTAGACGTCTGAGCATTGAATGCATTAGGTTTTTAATTAAATCTACGTTTATTTGTTCCCATTCTTGAACAAGAAGTTGTTTAAGGTGATGTCCACTAGTGATATGGTTTTTTATTACATTTTGGTCAAGAGTGTGCCATAAATTTTCAATGATATTTATATCTGGTGACTGAGGAGGAGTGTGGAGCTGTCTTGGAACCTTAAATATTAACCACTCCTTTGTTCTCCTCGCAGTATGTTTTGGATCGTTATCCTGCTGGAAATAGTACTGATCCTGGATTACCACTTTTTCGGCACTAACACGCAAATTACGTCACAAAATGTTCACATAGCCTTCCGAATTTAAAATGCCTTTGATGCTCACAAGATTTCCCACGCCATGGTAGGAAACACACCCCTAAACCATAACATGTCCTCCACCATGCTTTACAGTTGTTAAAACATTTTGCTTCTTTAGAGTTTCTTTAGGATGTCGCCATATCGTCCTTCCACCATCTGAACCAAACAAATTAAATTTGCTTTCGTCAGAAAATATGACATTTTCCCAAAAGCTTAAGGGTTTCTGTACGTACTCCCTAGCAAAAGCAAGGCGCTTTTTGCGATTAGTTTCACTGATGTATGGCTTCTTTCTTGAAACTCTACCATGGAGCCCCTTCTGAATTCAGGAAATATCTAATTGTTCTGCTAGTAATCTGAACTTCAGACGTTGATTGGCCCATGGTAGCCAGCTCCGGAGAACTTATCAGAGGATTTTTAAGAGCTTCTTTTCTGATTTTCCTCTTCAGCCTGGGAGTTAACTTTTTTTGACGCCCTTTACGCTCACTGTTTTCAGTTGAACCACGTTCATCATACTTTTTTATGAGGCATCATGAACTCCTGAGTAACATTTATGACTCCTGAGTAACACAATTTTTTCGCGAGTTGCGGTCTATTGTCTATTGACTAAAGGAAACTGATTGAAAGACTATAGTTTCTAGACTAGGTAGAATACTAGTAATTAACGATTAGAGATAAATTAGTAAACAAACCTATGACCTATGGACACAGGAGGATTAATGCCAAAGTAAACAGAGTTTGTGAGTCATAGTGTGCAAATACTTTTCTCCAAACACTTTTATTGTTTTAATTTTTTTGTTTCATCATGGAGTGTTGTCATTTTTTTCCAAAAGGTTTTTCTCAGTTTTTAACAAATGTACTTTTCATTTTTGCAAAGGAAAGCGAAGTTTTTTGGTTCCTTGAACTCATTTATTCATAAAAACCTGATGTGCAAATACTTTTTTCCATCACTGTATCTTGATGTTCACCTTATAAACTTATAAAAGCTCAAAGAGCAATTCTGTTTAATCAGCGTTTTCACCATATTTTTTTTAAAATTTCGATTTTTTCACTCAGATTCACCCTTTTCCGCAATCAAAATAAAAAATTAAAATTCACTTCCACCCAAATATATACAAAATAATACATAATATTGTTTATACCTGCTTGTTTTATGTTAGTTTTACTTATATTATTAAAAAATAATTTTTTTCTGGAATTTAGAAACTTGAGAGGAAAAAGTAAATGCAATAATAATAATACCATAATGCTATAATGTCCTGGAGAATACTGCCAGAGTAGTAAGGTGCTTTTTTACTTTCACTTGCCTATTTATGAAAGATAAAGTAAGGGAAAGTATTGCAATAGTGAACAATTTTGAATCTAATTTTCAACGGAAATACATATTTTGAGGTTTCCTCAGTCCAAATAATCTAGTCTCGCAAAATGGCGTATGTGTATGTGAACAGTCTAGTTCAAAAACGAATAGTCTTGCGAAACTGAAATTGGGTACTTACTAATATTTAATCTTTTTCTTGAATGTGTTTCATGGTAGATGTTTTGAATAAAGCTTATGATTTTTTTTTCAAAAGATCCACTTTTACATCTTATCAAGTTAAACATTTTTAAAAATTTATCTTGTAGCAAGCAATTATTTTTTAATATTTATTTATTTCCTATAAAATTTTGAACCTTGCTACAATGGTTTCTATGATAATTAATTATTTTAAATTAACATGTTTTATCGTTTATAAATTTTTCTTTCCCACATACGAGAAGACCTATTTCTGCTGAAAATAGAGTTGTAATTGAAAGTTGTGTGATGCGTACACTGCACCAGATTTTTAATATTTAGTAGATTTGTAAAATACTAACCTGAAGTGGTTGGTGTTTATTTTCTCTCTCTCCAGAAAAATCCTCTTTGAGAAAGTTAATAAATTTTTGTATATATTACCAGATTTTTAATATTTAGTAGATTTGTAAAATACTAACCTGAAGTGGTTGGTGTTTATTTTCTCCCTCTCCAGAAAAATCCTCTTTGAAAAAGTTAATAAATTTTTGTATATATTACCAAATAAAGTTTATAATATCAAGGAAAAAATATTTTAACCCTTATTCATTTTATAAAATCCTTTATGTAATTTCTACAACTTGACGAAGTTTCGGGCCATTTTGCCCATTTTCAAGTTGAAAATTATATCTTTAATATAAATAACAATTATTATAAATATATATGTAAAACAATATCAATATCAGTACAAAAAAACAATGAAATAGATGTTTAAAAATATCATGTTAATGAATTATAGCTTTACTTACTATATGATTATACAATCCTTTAAAACACATTTTATAACATTATTGCAAAAAATGTTTCTTTAAAATTAACTTGTCATATCATAAAATTCATTTTGAACAGTCAAATCTAAAATAAAACAATTTAAAAGAAAAGGCCAAAAATA